GACGGGGTGGCCACGGCCCCGGGGTGCCATGGTCTCTCACCGCTTTGTCTGCCAGCTGCTCCAGCTCTGCGGCCAGATCCAGGAGGCTCCCCTGGGTCACGCTCTGCTCCAGCTGGAAAAGGCAGAGACAGAGCCGTGAGAACGGGAAATGGCAGGGCTGTACCCCATCGCTGCGGCGCAGAGTGGAGCCAGGGCCTCCCAGGTGAAGGAGGTGCCCAGTTGCCCCAGGGGTGACACAGATAGCAGGGGACACCCTGGGAACCTGCAGTGGGACTCCCACAGCAGCAAAGACGAAGGGGCAGTGCACCCATCAACACAAATCTGGACCCCCCATCGCAATACCAGGCTCCCCCAGCCCACCTGCTCCAGCGTGGAGGTGAAGTCAGGGGGCTGCCCGTCCCGGCTGGCGTTCAGCAGCAAGTCTCTCTGGCTCTGGTTGAGCAGGGAGATGGGGCTCAGGGTGATGGTCAACTTCTCGAAGGCTGTGGAGATCTCTCCTGTGTACTGCAGGAGGGAGGGAAGCCGTGATGGGGCACGGTGCTGGCCCCTCGCTGTGCCCCCCAGCACCAGCCCTGAACCTCCAGCTCTGCCCGTCCAGACCCTGGCACCCCCGCACTTACCTGGCTGATGTTCAAGAGCTCGTCCAGGGACACGCTCTGGTCCAAGTGCAGCGTTTGCCACAGGGCAGTGTCTCGCTGGCACTGCCTGCAGGAGGGGGGCATGGGGCTGAAAACAGGGCAGGCAAGGGCCACCCACTCCCAGGAGCACATCCTCATCCCCCTGGGCAAGTCGCACCTCGCCCCTTCCCTGGCATCGGCGCCTGCCCGCAGCCAGGACAGGTAGGGCAGGACCCACCTGTAGATCTCCGAGAAGTTTGCTGTGCCACCCTCTTGGCCCAGCAGCTCCGAGAGGTTGAAGCCAGGGATCAGGCCGGGGGTGTCCAGGAGCTGAGAGCAAGGGAAGAGATGAAGAAACTGGATATGGTGCAGGGCGGGACACCTGGGAAGAGCATCCCGAACTGGCCAGCACTGCCTCCGCTCACCAGCAGCCCTCGGAAAGGCGGCAGCGGCTCCAGGCAGGGGTGTCAGCTCACCTCGAAGAGCTGCTGGTTGCGCCAGGACTCACAGACGAGCATGTAGATGTTCCCCCCCAGCACAAAGGGGATCAGCACCAGCAGCATCAGCAGCCAGGAGAAGATGAAGCCGAAGCCGACCCCTCTGCCAGGACACAGGCGCCGTCAGCACCCGAAGCCCCGTGCCCCGGCGTTGATGCTAGCACTGCCTCCAGCTTGCAGAGCCCGCACACCCCCTGACCGCCCAGCAACGCCGGGAAGCACCACAATTCCCACAAGCTCTTCTCCGCTCTGCCTTCACCCCCGGAGCATGGCCGGGCTGTACGCTGGGGCTCGGAGCCCAGCATAGCTTCCCCCAGCTCTCCAAGCCACCACCCACCCGCAGAGCCACAGGGCCAGGCACACACTGCCAGCGCGGGGTGAACGGGCTCCGCTCGAATGCCTTTCACCCAAACGATGTTTCACCCTCACGTTTTCCACCTGCACGGTGAGTCGCCATGGGGAAGGCCATTAAGCTGCAGTAATTTGATGATTTCGGAGCTTGAGCATCCCCAGGCCAGCCCTGCCCACCCGTCCCACTGCTCCCACACGCGTCCTCGGCAGCCGAGGGAGCTGAGAGAGTTCCCGCCAGCGTTGGAGAGGCTGCTGCGCTGGGTGGGCAGCATGCTCTCCTTCAGCCCCAGGGGCCCCAGCAGCAGCCAGAGGGAATTGCAGAGGACCACCAGCAGCACCATGCAGCACAGGAGGACACACACGCCCCACCTGTGGCAAGAAGAGGGGCAGGAGTCAGACGAGCAGTGCCCGGCATCCCACCAGCTGCCCTCCCAGGCATCCTGGCAGAGCAGGGGCATGGGTGGCTGCAAGGCACAGAGCTGGCTACCCTGTGCCCGCAGCCCCACCGCTAAGCAAGACCCCAGCTCCAGCAGCTGGAGATTGAGAGCCTGAGCCCCTCCAGACAAGGAAGCCGGGGGATGCAGCAGCCCCTCGCCTACCTGAGCCCATCGACGGTGATGACCGGCTCCCTGTACTCCTCCAGCATCGATGTGGCGTTACCCACAAAGGCCCCGACGTTCTCCTCCACACCCAGCAGTGGCACCTGCTCCTGCAAGCTCCTGATCTCCTGCCTGATGAAGCCCAGCTGGTCCTGGGCCTCTGCAGGGGATGGGGACAGGTTGGTGCTGTGAACTGCTGCCCAGGTCCTGCTCGTCTGGGGCAGTGGGGACTGGGAGAGGATGGGAAGGGGGTGGCTTTGGTCCAGGATGGCATCAGTATGATAGCATGTGGGGACCTGGGGACAGCCAGGGCTGCCAGCAGTGGGGTGGCAGCAGGGGTCTCCAGGCAGAGACAGGATGAGAAGGGAGTATGGAGCCCTGGGAGGGGGGGAAATTCGGCACATGGGGCACAAAGCCCTGCTTACTTGTCACCACGTCCTGGGACTGCTCTTGCACCTTGGCAGGGATGGTGTCCAGCGTGCTGTTAACCTGCGGCGGGGGGTCACAGCGTACAGCTCATGTCCCTGCCCACAGCCCAGGGCTGAGCAGCACATCTCCCCCATCCCCAGATGGCACAGGACACCCAGGGTCCCCCCCAGCACCCAGCCCTGACCATGCCAGCACCCGTGGGTGACGGGGACAGCAGGCGCTTGCACCTTGGCAGGGATGGTGTCCAGCGTGCTGTTAACCTGCGGCGGGGGGTCACAGCGTACAGCTCATGTCCCTGCCCACAGCCCAGGGCTGAGCAGCACATCTCCCCCATCCCCAGATGGCACAGGACACCCAGGGTCCCCCCCAGCACCCAGCCCTGACCATGCCAGCACCCGTGGGTGACGGGGACAGCAGGCGGGCTCCCACCAAGGCAGACCTCTGACCCGTACGTTCCTCCACGCACCAGCAATTAACTCCCAGCACGGCTCTTCCCAAGCCAGCCCCCCGCAGCCCAGCCCCGCAGCGCCAGGAGCCCCCAGCCCAGGTGCAGCGGGGCCCCCCTTACCTCCTCTAAGCTGGCCGCGATGTTGGAGCCAGACACATCGCGCAGTGCCTTCAGCTGCCGCTCCACACCGGGGATCTGCAGGGAAGAGCCCGGGGTGAGCGGGCTGGGGAGGGGGCCGCGGGGACCC